TGACATGAACACTCTAGCATAATTTCTAAGTCTACTTTTTCACTACACCTTGCTCCTTTAACAGAGTACTTAAACAGGACAAACAAGTAGCTGTGGGTGTACAAGAATGTTTATACCTACCTGACTGTGGTACTGATAAAGCCTTGGTGTAGAAGTTGTAAGTGGAGCTGGGCTTTGAAAAATGCGTTTAATCTCTAAAGGAGGGTGTGTTCTTAAGTGAGTAACATGCTTACTTCCACCACTTGCCAGTATTTCATATTCATCCTTGTGTTCCTCCATGCAACAAAACCAATCAACTCAGTCCAGGCACTATGTTAGGCATTAGCAGTTAGATACAACCCCTAGAGAACAAGACATAGTCCCTGCCCTCATAGACCTTAACATATGTGAAACAGGCATTAAGCAGGGGTGGTGGAGTGAATTACATGGTATGGCTTTTCTAGCCATAGCCTTTGTAACTTCCACTTTGCCGAGATCAACCAAGTAGCTGCTTGTTAAAGTCACCTACCTGGGATAGCACGGAGTAATCTAGGGAAGTTCGTTCTCTCAGGTGTGTAGAACTCTGATGTTGGGATTGGTTGGTTTTGCCACTCTACAAGGCTCAACATGAGCCCTCCTAGAGGCAGAAGGAATCACTACTGGCTGAGAGACATGCTGCTAAGAGGCTGAGACTGCTGGCTGACAGAGACTGCACGCGTTCCTGAACTTGAATTGCAGTCTGTTGCTTCCCCAATAAACCCCATAATCTGTGAGTTCTATGTGGCCACCGCAGCGAATTATAAAACCCAGCAGGGAGGTGGTGTGTGTGGTGAGAGGGATGGTTGGTGTCAAGGCTGGCAAGAGGGCTGGAGGGTGGCATCATGTCTGGCCTCACAGCTGCTGAAGGCCTTCGGTTGCTGATGGTGATTCTGTCTTCCTCTTGTGGAGTTAGAGGAGGTCAGAAGATGCCACCTCTGTGCCCATTTAGCAGCAGGTAATTAAAACAAACAAACAAACAAAAAAACCACCACCCCAAATTGACTGCCATTGATTCTATTCCAACTCACAGAGACTGCCTTTGGGTTTCCGAGGCAGTGAATCTTTATGGTAGTAGATTGCCCAGTCTTCCACGGAGTGGCTGGCGGGTTTGAACCACTGATCTTCAAGTTAGCAGTCAAATGCCTTAGGCACTACACTACCAGAGCAAGCAGGTAATTAAGAGGTACGCTAAGTGTTACAAAGAGGGACAAGGACAGGACGCTAACCTGAAGGAGCTCAGGGTGAGCCCTCTGAAGAAGTGATGAAAACTCATTAGGAGTTAACAAGGAAAAGTTGTTGGAGCTGTAAGGGAGAAGAGAACCAGGAGGATGGAAAACATATGCCAAGGCCATGAAAGAAAACAGTACATTCAGGGACCCAGGAGCAGAGAACAGTGACTGGAGGGGCCAGCATGGACCAGATCACAAAGGGCCCTGTGTGCATACATTTGGGACTTAATCCTAAAGCAATTAGAAGCTACAACCTCTTATTCACAAAATTCTACCCCCACAGCCAGGAGAAGTCACTTCATTTTTTTTTCTTGCCCTGCTTATTAAAAATTTTTATTATAGTAAAATATATATAGCATTTTTTTCCATTTTAACTATTTTTAAGTATACAATTCAGTGATATTACATTCACATTATACAGCCATTACTATTTCTAAAAGTTTTTCATCACCCCAAACAAAACTCAGTATCCTTTAAGCAGTAACTCCCATCCCCCCAAACCCCTGCTAACCACTAATGATCTATTTTCTCTGCGATTGTGCCTACTCTGTTGTGTGCTGTCAAGCTGATTTTGATTCACAGTGACACCATATGAGGGTAGAGCCCCCACAGGGTTTCCTAGGCTGAAATCTTCACAGGAGCAGATCACGTCCTTTCTCCCATGGAACAGCTGGGTGGGTTCCAACAGCTGACGAGTTAGTAGTGAGTGCTCACCTAGACTGCCACCAGGACTCCTCTGCCTACTCTAGATAGCTCATGTAAGTAGGATCATGCTGTATTTGTTCTTTTGTGTCTGACTTCTCTCACTCAGAATGTTTTCAAGTTTTACCCATGTTGTAGCACGGGACAGAACTTCTTCCTACGGCTGAACACACAGGCCACGTTTTGTTCATCCATTCATCTTTTGAAGGATACCTGGGCTGTTTCCACATTCTGGCTGTTGTGAATAGTGCTGCCACGAACACTGGTATACTCTTAGCCGTTTATGCTCCTGCTTTAAATCTGTTGGGTGTGTACCTAGTATCGCTGGGTCATATGGTAATTCTATGTTTAACTTTATTTTTTCCAGAAATAATCTCATTTTAACATCTATCTAAGCTTATAAGATAACTGGTCTGAATTCAATTTCCCTGGCCTGCACTAGCTGCTGCAGGGTCCTACAGGTTTGAGTCCCGGAGGAATATGGAGGAATGAGCTGCTTTCTCCCCAAACTCCTAACCCCTCACCGCTCCAACGTTACTGTAAATACGTCCTTAGGTGGGAACACAGAGAGCCTGGGAAGAACAGACCAGTGAAGCTCGGTGAATCACTGAACCATTAGTTCAATCATACCATTGTCAGCTACAATTTATCTACATTGTCCTTCCTACACCTCAGGGTAACCACCTTCTCCCTTCCTCAGTGTGTTAAGTGTATTAGCTCTCAGGAAAAGGCTGCGAGGGGCCCAAGGCTTTTCCACCTCTCTTCCTCCCTCTGTTGCTGGCCCCATCACACAAAGAATCAGAACATTCCTTGTTAAATTCCATGAGTCAGGAAAGGGTGGAAATCCTGTTAACATTCTTTCCTTAAAAGTAGTAAAGTTAAACCATCTAATACACTGGCTACCTAACTGAAATGGACAATACAGCTTCATTATTGATGTTAGTTGCCATCAAGTCAACTCGCACTCACGCCCCCTCCCCCACAGAGTGAAACACTGCCTGGTCCTGCGCCACCTTCCCGATCACCAGTGTGCTCGGGTCCACAGTGCCAGCCACAGCATCGAGAATGTGCTCACCTTCAATCACTACATTAGATACTATTTTGTTGGGATCTACAGTTTTCATTGGCTAATTTTTTTAAGTAGATCACCAGGCCTTTCTTCCTGGTCTTAGTCTGAAAGCGCTGCTGAAATCTGTCCACTATGGGTGACTCTGCTGGTCTGTGCAATTACCAGTGGTATAGCTTTGCATTATAGCAACACACAAGCCGTGACAAACTGACAGGTGCCTGAGGCAACAGAAAAGAATGGAGAAATAAAAACACAAATCACTGATAGTAAAATAGTTTTATTTAGTTTCTTATTTTTAAAAAAGGTAGCATTTCACATATAAATTTAGAGTTCAAGATTACAGTGTGTATTTGCCAAAAGGAACATCCCTGAAGGAGGGACAGACTGCGAGCTCAGCAAGTGAGCGCAGGGAAGCACACTCCACGGGGAGCTGAAGAGGTTCTTTCTGTGAAACTTCCCCGTGGCACTTCCCTATCCCTCAGCCCTGACACCAGGGTTTCTGGCTTGTAAGAAAACCCACTCCCAACACTTTGGGGCAATAGCTCTTAGCTCAGTAAATAAGGGAACATCTCTAGGAGTAAAAGCACAAATATCAATGATCCAGCTTTCCCACAATCATTACTCATCTGAAGCAACAATATGACAGGTGGAGTTTTTATAATTCAAAAGTTCTTTTAAGGAGGGCTAAAGAACACAAAATTCATTCAGAGGGAATTTATATAATTAATTGAGCAGAAAGGAAAAAAAAAAATGATTCTCTCTACATTACAGATGGCTCTGAAGTATAAGGCCCAGGAAAAAGACCCGTTTGAATCTGGGACTTCCCTCCTTTCCCAAAGTCAGTGTTTGGCACAATCCACAGGCTGTCACGAGGCTGATGGGCTGTCACGCAGCTGGAAGCTTCCCTGCGGTGGTCCCATGGCTTCAGTGGCATCATCAGCGTGTACACAAGAAGTGTCCTAACAAGCTGCACCAACTCAGGCCTAACTACAGGGCGCCCTCTTTCAGGCAAGTTAATCTTACAGAAAAATGTCCAGATGAAATAGGTCTCCCATAGCCACAAGCCAGCTCTGCCACCCTCTCATGGAAAATTAAGTCCACTGGCTACCCAGGGAAGGTCAAAGTTGGAAAAATAACTTTGATTTCAGCATGTCAGGGCCACGAGGGAAAACAGAGATGACCAAGGGTGCTTTCTGTTCTTTGTCTCACACTACGTGGGCTCCTGATGAACCACCTTGAGAAGAACCATCAGTGTGCCAGTAACCATGGCAGCCCTAGGATTTGGCCTTTAGGTAGAAGTGTAGGGGCAAGTGAACTCACCCCAAATCCAGTTTTAAAAAGAATCATTTCCTGCAGTTATGATATAACACTGTGCAGTGAGGGGCTGGGAACTGTACACTCCGCTCATTCTGGTGAAAGCCCCGCCCACTCCTGGTCAGCCAGAGCTGAGAGGGGGCCGTGGAAGGAGGCATCTGTAGCTAAAAACCAGGCACCTTAAGTCACACGTGGCCTGGGGCAGTGATGTGGACAGTCATCACCCCAATGGGAAGGAATGCCGGGTCCCAGAGCTGTGGTTCAGAGCAAAGGCTCCATCGCACCCAAAGCTTCCAATCAAGCCCTCCTGAGCCTACCAATGCGGTGAACTTGTGATTATGAATCATTACACCGAGTCTCTGGTTGGGTGAGAAGGTACACGCCCCAGGAGACCACCAACCCGACAGGAAAACAGAAAGGTGCAAGTCTTATCAAGTAAATGGTTGCTCCAAGTGGAAGATCATTTCCTGGGGAACTTCAGAGGCCTAGATGCTAATCACATAGATGAATGCTGGCCCGAGAGCCCAGAACGAGAGCCTGGGGTGCAATCAGGCTTCTTTGCACTTACCACCTCGTGGCCACCTTCCCGCTGGCCTCTCTCATTTCTAGCATGGCTGCGCATACATTTCCCCAGGGACCAATGTAAACATTATTCAATAGATCTCAGCTTAGAAAAACACAGCTTGTTATGTAGTTAGTGTTTGACATTCCAGTGCAGGCAGTATCGTAGCATCAGACATTCCCTCATTCATGAGTACCAGTTTGGAAAGAACACAAGAAATACTTGATAAAACTGCAGCTGAAAAGACCCTCTGAGTGCCAGACAGCTGGCTCTATGTCGCACTGAGTCAATAAACGAGGATAATCACAGGAGAGGCAGAACAGATAGCACAAGTTCTCTAAGTCTGAAGAGTCGGTATAACCATTGTTCCCCCTGAACCCCATGGGACACATCTTGATATGGGAGGTCATTTCCACCTCTTGCATCAACCCGTGCTCTCCTTGTTTTGGATGGGGCTCTCTCCAGAGGGTTCGTGAGCTTCCTTAGAGAGGAGAGAGCTTTCTCTTCCAGTCCTAACATCTGAATATTTCAAAGCACAAGAGGAGTCCACAAACATGCTAGGGATGCTGCTGCCAAAATAGATCTTACTGTTGGAAGCAATGGCCTGGTACTTTTTGAGCTCCAGATACTCCGGGGTCAGTTTGTGCTGCGTAAGGGCAAACAAGACACAGGCATCAGGACATCTCTGGGCGCAGTCAGCTCTTTGTCTACATTCATTTTCTCTCCACTGTTCTTCACTCTGAACTGCTGCCAAGGACACTGTCTCACTTTGCAGTGTGGCTATCACATTAACAGCCATGTTCCAGACTTGAAGCTCCTTTAACAAACTCCTGTCCTAGTGAGGATAAGCTATTAACTTCTTAATAGAAGGATGTAATGGCTAATTGGGGAAGGGAGGGATTTGGGAATGATTAATGATAATAACTAACATTTCTATAGGGTCAATAAAGTCCACTCCCATCTCATCTAGCTGAATACAGCCTGGAATGTGACTGGAATTTTTGATTCAGAGAAAGGTGGGCAGGTTAACAGATGGGAGTGGAAGAGCTTCAAAGGAAAAGGCTATGATTTATTTTAGAGTAATCTAAATGAATAAATAAAAACTCTTCTTCTCAAAGTCCGGTCCACTTTCCAATTTCCTTTTAACATGAGCGAGCCAATGAATAACCTTTTAATTCCCTGGACTCCTAACTTTATAATCAGCCATCTTGATTCTATTTTCCTGTTTTTCTTGACTAAACTCTAGAACTGGAAAAGGTCTCAAGAAATCACCTTGTCTGGCCTCGTGCCTTTATTCAGAAGCTGCATGTTTAAACTGCTTGTGACAGGCTGATGTTTGTCAACCACCTTCCCACAGATCTCCCTGTCACCTACTGCAGTGTTTTGTTTTAATCATGGTGCTATGACCCGGCCAACCAAAATCTCTCTAAGTTTGATTAAAACTCATTTCTAACGTTGTCTGGAATAGACATGCCTCCAAAAGGCTCTGAGAACTTTCCTGAGGATCCTCCCCTGCCCTTGAGCCCCAGGCAAACGACCACGTTGTCCTTCACAGTCCCAACCTTTCATTTTCTACATTCCAGCATCTTTGATGCCCTGCTGGATCTATATCCCTCTCCAGCTGATCCACAGCTGCTGTCAAAACACTGTAACCAAATCTGGTCACAATACATACACAAATTACTTCTGAAAGCCTTTTTAATACAGGTTGATACCTGAGTAGCATTTTTCAAAATGGCATAGGTTGACTTCAATGGCAGGGTCTTAGTCAAGTGTTTCCTTCCTGCCTTCATCCTGACTAAAGTCCATTCTGTTTCTAAAAGGCTGTACCTTCCACCATGCTTATTTCTAAATTTATCCGTGTTTTCAAAGTACTGACAACTCTCATTCTGTCTACCTACCACGTCTGATCATTTCTTCTGAATACAGGTTACGCTACTCTTTCTAAAATGAAAGCATTCAAACTCTGTCTTATACCTTATATCTTGACTCTAAGCCTTCACACTGCATTGTACAGGTTAGCAACTACTATCTCAACCTCTTCTCTGTTCCAAGCTACTCTACAAATAATCACTTATAATCTTGCTCATATCTTTTCTTTCTCAGAACCTTGTAGGGGTCGTAGCTGCCTCTTAATTAAATGACCTGTTCACTAGGTCCGTACTCTACAGTCAACCTACCCTAGCACTCACACCTACATTGTCTGCCCATCAGCCTACCTCCCTCAAGTTACCACACATTCCTTTCCTTGTGCCCAGAACTGTTTTCTATCCTATAAATAAGAAAGCAGTTCTCAAATGGGGGCAGTTGGTAATGTGTATGAGAAGTGGGTGGAGTTTGGTGGCTAAAATAATTGGTAAGCATTACTGATATTTAGTGGGCAATCACCAGGGATATAAAATATCCCGCAATGAGAGAGTCATCAACAATGAAGAAGAACCTCACCCCAAAATGCCAAGAATGTCTCTGATATGAGAAACACTGCTCTAGGTGAACTTAACACCTATCAAAAAAACCCAATTCAAACCAAACCCACCTTATCTGAGAAGCAAGTCTAGTCACTGCAGGTGAAAACCCTCAACTTCACTGATTACTGAGACCTTACATAGCGGGTACGAATGAATGAATTCCTGGCATTTCATCTCTGTTTCTGTCTGTCTGCCTTTTTCTTAGTGCCCCGCTATTAAAAGTAGCTATAGAGTCCCCAACCTGGTGGATGTGTAGTACATCTTGCTAAATGATGGGCTGTTAACTGACTGGAGGATGTGATGGTCACCACTTCCTCGACATCAGATAAAATCACTCCATCATATTAAAACCAAACCCACTGCTATCAAGTTGGCTCTGACCTACAGTGACCCTATGGGACAGAGCAGAAATGCCCCAGGGGGTTTCCAAGGCTGAAAATCGTTATGGAAGTAGACGGCCTTATCTTTCTCCCACAGTTGGCTCGGGGAGTTTGAACTGCCAACTGTTTGTTTAGCAGATGAATGCTTTAAGTCCTGTGCCCCCAAAAAGGGAAAGCAAACTCCCAAACCATACAACTAGGAAAGCGGCAGAGAGCCAGTCACCTTGTTTGAGGTGGCGTATTTATGTGCAGCGTAAAACTCAGCATCTGCTTTCGCCTTCTCTCGGGCCAAGAACGCAGCATCTAGCAAACAAGACAGACAGGGTGTTTAAAGCCACGCAAAGTGCCGATCCAGCCCCTCAGCTGGGTAGTAGTTCAGACTGCACCTTGGGTAGGGCTCCCTTTCTCCACTGCCTAATAATTCAATTTCTTCCTTTGCCTCATAAATTTACAACAAAATGAACAGTTTTCCATCCCAGCACCGAGACAGCTCTTCCTCAAAGGGGAATACTCCTGTTGGCTCATTTCAGCCCACTGCGTTCTGCACCCAAACCTGCTCCTTCTTTCCTCCTCCTCTACTCTCCATCCAGGCCCCAGGCTTCAAGAACAACTAAGTGCAGACGCAGACCTTCTGCTCTACCCACTGCACTGTCCCCAGCCATTCAGGATCTGAGTGGGAATCAGTGAAGGAGAGAGGCAGGAAGCAGCAGTACACAAGCAGAGGGGCTCACGCTTGGCCTCCAAGACCCCTTGTGAGCTAAGAGCACTCCACCGTACGAACTCAAGTATTCACGCCCCTCCATGAAAACTGAGCCTTCTTCCCCCAGCCCCACCAGCTCATTATTTTTGTTGATAGCTGGGAAAGAAACTGGTGGTAAGCTTTATAATCTTGTGCATTCTTTACAACTGATTATGGGTAATTCTCAATACTTTGCCTGGAAATAAAGTATCAGCTAATAAGCTCCAATTTAATAAAAAAAAAATGCTGAATTATCCACAATTACAAACCAAACCAATAGACAGATATATAACAAAAATAGTTTTTTTTTTTTTCTTCTTTTCGGTCTAGAGTATCAGGCCAGCCACTTTTTCCAGACCAGATTACTCTCTGCTATGGCCTTGCCACCCACCACAAACAAGAACCCACCTCCCCAGGTAGAGCAACAGCTCAGGACTGTCCCAGCCTCAGACCCTCCCTGCTGTACCTTCAATCTCAGAAATGCGCTTTTCCGTTTCTTTCTCCATCACCTTCTGCTGAAATCGAATTTTTGCCACTTGTGCAATCTTCTCTGCTTCTATAATTATACAACAAAAGAGGATACATTCAAATGCATTTCTCTTGTTCCTATGGACTTAGAACCGGCAGCACACAGTCCCACATTTAATTATGTAAGATTATAAGGGCTAATTGTTTCACGAAGTTTTATCTAACCAGACTGTAAACAACTCATGGGAAAAAAGGAAATTTATTTTCTATGTCACTGCTCTATTTTGACAGTACTAATTTTGTGGGAAGAGGACAAACAAAAAGTAACAGTTCCAGTACCTCATAGGACAATATAGCAATGGTCCACAAGTTAATGGGAAAAAAAGATACTTTATAAAAGTACCACAGAACAAAAACAGAGCAACATAAATGCATGGCGGCACAGGACAATTATATAAGGTGGCAGGAGAAAGTATGAATAAGGAAGGTAAGTTAAACCAAGGAAGGCCTCTGGAAGACATCTTAAAGGAAACAGTGGACAGGATCTGGGAGGACATGCCAAAAAGCATACACAAAGATGAGAAGGCATGAATGAGCAGGTCACAGTAGAGAGATGATTAGGGGCCACCTGATAAGACAGCAGAAAAGACTGGGTAAGAGGGTAACAGGACTCCTATCTTGAATGACAGGCTAAGGAGCTCGGTGTTGATATAATCAGGATGAACTGTTAAATTACCATCACGGTAAGGACAGGATAAAAATAATATTCGAGGAAGATTATTCTGACTGCTGCAGAAGATAAAACAGAAAGCAGAATAATTCACCCGAGAGTGTGAAAACCAACGCTGGGAGTGAACCTGTCCACTGCAGCAGGCAACACAGGCAGGAGAAGCTAAACACCCCAAGTGAACCTCCGGCTAAACCAGAGGACTCTCATTACACTTTACATTCAATCACTGCAATTCTTAAGTAACAGTCTAAATTTTCCTTTGTAGCCAAAGAAGGAAGGTTGGGCAATCCTACTTCCATAGTGATACTGCCTCGGAAACCCAAGGAGGGGTCGCTATGAGTCCGGGCTGACTCAACGGCACATAACAACAACAACAACAACAGCCAAAGAAGGTAAGTATTTCAACATACTTTATCTCTCACCCCTCAGGGAAGTGCATTATAAAAAGAAAAACTCTGAAGTGGGTTATCTTTCTCCTTCCAGAAGACAATAACCTTTACCAAACACTCCAAGGAAGACTTGCTTATTTCTCCATCAGAGTAAAATCAATCCACATCATATTATCCTAAAAAACGATCTACTATATTCACAGGGGCTTCAAACTTAACTATAAACAGAAACTCAAGATAAACTTGAATTGAAAGGCGAGGGATTTGGAGCACGCAGCTAGAATCCAGGGGACGCGATCTTACCACAGAACCACGAGGTAATCCCGTTCACCACTGCTCTGTGGTGTGTGGGTGTGAGCCAATAAAGAGCATGATGAGACTCTAATTCTACACAGTCAGCTAGGCTAGTGAGAAAATCCCTCAGCTACCAACACTTGAAAATGCTAAACACATAACTTTGTGTTTAATTGCTTGGCTGAATTCCTAAGAAAGAATGGGAGATAGTCAAGGGATGTAAATAAAGGGAGAGCTGAAAGCCTGCATGATGGCAGCACTGGGGGTACTTAATGGACAACTAAGAGACAGAGACGTGGGGTACAGCCCACGTGGGGGCCAGGAGAGGAGGCCTTGAGATGCTGGCCCTGAGCCTCCTGCACAAAGCTGACACCTGTGATGGCTACAACCCCAGTGAAAAGGGGACTGGAAAATCGTGCCTACCAGCCCAGCGAGCAGCACCGCCATACATCAAAGGAAATTGACGTGCACTCAGAAAAAAATCTTAAAAGCAGAAAGGCAGACCGATTACTCAAAAAGGACAATGAGACCTTTGACAGCCTATTTCTAAACAGCTACAAGAAGTCAAACAAAAATGAAATAATATTGTTAGAGTGACAAGGAAAAAAAAGCTTCATTTGATTTAGAACTGTAAGCTAAATTATATTCAAGAATGAGACAGAATATAAAAAACAGTTGAGACCAAGAAAGAACTAAACAAATTGACTACCCCTTAGCCTTCGTTGGAAAAACTAGCAAAGAGAAAAAAAAAGGGGGGGGGGGGTTGCAAGAAGCAATGGAGAAGAAAAAATTACTAAAGAAATACTAAGAAAAAATACACATGTAAATCAAAATAAATGTTTACTGTACAAATCAATGACAGTGATGGTTATACTTAATGGGGGGAATAAAAGCAACATGAAACTAAAATACTAGGCAATAATATGTAAGCCTGGGACAGTGATAAATATTCTAAAGTACTGCTCAAGAAGAGGGCGGAGAGATTGGATTAACGATTAACTTTAGTTGTTGCCAAGTCAGGTATGCTTGTTAATATTTTATAGGTAATGACTAGTTATACATTTGAGAAACAATATACAATTTCTAATCAAGTAAAAACAAGAAAGTAATTCAGAAAATTAAATCATTTTTATGCTAGTCAAAAAGCGGGGGGCAGGGGGCAGAGAAAAGAAATGCAGGGTAACAGCACAAAATTAAATGATACAAACAAATCCAAACATAGCAGTAATCACAATAAATATAAAAAGACTAAACTCACCAGTTAAAAGACAGATTCTCACATTGGATAAGAGAACAAAATCCAGCTATATGCTGTTTACAAGAGACACACCTAAAACACAATGACACAGAAAAGTTGAAAGTGAAAGAATGGGAAAAGATACACCAGGAAAATAACTAACCCAGAGGAATCTGGCAAAACTGTGTAATCACTGGACACAACAGACCTTAACCCAAATAACATGCTGGGGGATAAAGTGGGCTACTATATCACAGAAGCCATTCTCCAGGGAGAGACAATCACCTTGAACCTGAAACTCTTAATGAGACACCCCAAATACATGAGAGAAAAAAAAAAAGCAAGAGGTCAACAAATTCATGGTCCTAGTGGGATTTTTTAAGACATCTCTCGCAGAGATTGATAGCTCAAGACAAAAATTAGAAGAATATTACACAAGTCAAATAAGCCTGACCTAATGGATAGAGAAATCTATACTAAGCATTCAATCTTTTCAAGGACACAAAGAGCACTTATAAAAAATGACCATGTGCAGTAGGCTATACTGCAAATGTCAATAAATACTTAAGAATCCATATAACAGATCATATTCTCTGACCACAATTTAATAAAACTGGAAATCAACAATAAAAAGGTAGCCACTCGGATGCATGCAACCAGAAAATGAAAAATATACTATTAGTAATTCATGGGTTAAAGAAAATATCATAATGGAAAAAACTTTTAGAAAGAATGAAAACTGAATACCAATAAATAATCCGTATTTCAAAACTTGTGAGACATACCTAAAGCAGTACTTAGAAGATAAGTTATAATCTTAAATTTTCCATTAGAAAAGACTGAAAACGAATGATTTAAATGTCTAACGCAAGCAATTAGAAAAGAACCAGAGAAAAAAAAAAATAAGGATGAATAACGTAATTGAAAAGAAAAGTCTCAACAGAACAAACAAAAGCAAAAATCAATTCTCTAAAAAGATACATAAGATAGCTCTCTAGTAAAAGTGATCCAACAAAAGAGAAGGCACTAATAAACAATATTAGAAATAAAAAGGGTTATCCAGATATGGTAGAGGGTTTCAAAAATCATTAGAGAATATTATAAATAAATTTGTGTCCCCAAATTAAAAATATCATAAAATAGACAATTTTCTAGAAAAATATAATTATCAAAATGGACTTCAAAAACAAAATAACAACTGAATAGACCTACAACCATTAAAGAAATTAAATCAGTAGATTAAATATTACCACAAGAAATAAAAAAAGCAAAACCTCCACTAGATGAAGATGATTTTACAAATGAGTCCAAATCTGCAGAGAAGACAAAACATATCTTATGTAAAATGTCCTACAACTTAGAGCCAGCTACCCAGAGCGACCGAGTAGTTGAACCTGCAGGCTTGGGACCATAGTCACAGGGTACATCAAGCTCAATTGGCATAACATACTATACAAAACATTGTTCCACCTCCTACTTTG